TTAACGTAATAGTTTATTTTTACATAGTTTTATTTTTTAATAGTTTATTTTTGTGCCTTTTTCCATCTCAGTTGTAATCCCCTGGGTTTCCCATCACTCCATATCACCCGTGTGATTTATGTGTCTTATTATAGTTTGTCTTTCATCTAGGCAGCTATGAATTCCCCTTGCTTGTATTTCTATGTTAGTTTCCTTCTTTAAGTTTGGGGAGTTCTCCTCCATTTTCCCTAAATAGATTCTCAGTTCTGCCCCCTCTTATCCTTCTAGGATTTCTATGATTTTCTATTTCCATTTTCTTATGGTCTCAGATAACTTTTGAAGTGTTTCTTCATTTCTTTCTTTTCTCTCTTTTTCATCTTCATAATCACTGATTCATTCTTATATTTGATTTATTTTCCTTCCATGGTTTTGTCCTGAGATTTTTGCTTCCCTCCACAATTCTGTCATTTTCTTGTTTAAAGTTTCAATTTTGATCTGCTTTTGTTGATTGTGTTTCTCATATTTATTTCTTTTTCTGAGCTATATTTTTTGTTTATACTGTTTATAATTTTTATATTGTTTTGCTTATGTTGTTCTCACTCTTTATTTTTCTTAATCATAGCCATCCTGATTTCTGTGTCTGACAAGTAAAGAAGGTTTTCCATGACTTTGTAGTTTGGTTCTGGGGTTTTGTTTTCTCTCTGTGGTGTATTGTATGTCAAAGGCAATGGACATTAATCATTAATATAGCCAGTCTTAATAGGAAAGGAGAAAAGTTAAAGGATGCTATTGTGGCTGACAAATTAGTTTGTGAGCACAGCTAAGACATACCTTTGGGGAGTGGAATAAATAATTAGTATGTGCTTTGGAGTTAAGTGAAGAAGGAAACTAAGGTTCAGCAATAACAATAAGATGATAACTTAGAATTATTGCCATTTAGGCACTGAATTTTTTTGTAACCTGTTTTATACTCAAAGGTTGTTGAAGCCACAGTAGGTTTATATACATGTCAAGTCAAGTGATTGTGAACACTTCCTACCATATAACAGGATTAGCGATATAGTTTAGAACTGGAGAGGAAAATATGGAAGGAGGATGAAGCTGCTACTGCCAAAGTTGTAAAAATCATCTCACAGCACCCACCAAGAAACTATTATTTAGATGTGCTTAAGGAAACTGCACACACTCTCCAATTTGTCCTTAAGATAATAGCCTCAAATATCAAGCAACAGTTTCAAGGCAGTATTTGGTATGCTTGTAGAAAACACTGACAAATAGTTGAATATGTGTTCGTAATTCATGCGTAGGCATTTAAGCAATACGGAAAAACAAAAGTGCCAGCAGTAGTTGTCTTTTGGTGATTTATTTTCATTTTTCAATTTTCTCTATGAAAAAGCATTACCTTTACACGGGAGATAAAAATGACTCGTTTCTTTTCCTCTAACAACTAAAGATCAAAACTCATCTCTGACTCAAGCTATGACCCAAATTCTTCCTTCATTTTAATCTATAGGCTTCCAAGGTGTCTCCATCTAATTACAGAATCACAGATAAACCAAATACCCTACAAAGTGTCTCACTGAACTCTTAGAGTAGATGCTGGGAAAGATTTTTGGTCAATAGGGAGAGTGGTGTACAGGAACTATATAATGATTATTTTTAAAGCTGGACATTGAGTTCTCCTGCCTGGTTAAATTTGTTTTGTTGTGATGTCTCTTAGAT